TTGCTGGAAGAAATTAATAGCCAGGCCTGATCCTTTCTGTGCTGGAACACAATGTCCTACTTTGCTCTGATAGCGTTGTTAAGGATTTTTTGAATCATCACACTAAAAACCAAAGGTATAGTGGCAGCACATCTGTCTACACAGCTTTTACTTGAATGAATCTAATTTAGTAATACATAGAGGAGGGTAGTTTTGTTTTTCTCAGCCATAATGATTTGCTAGACATTTGTGAGTGAACCAGATCTATTACACAATTGCCTTTATGCATAAACAATGTCATTCCATTATTATTCTACTGGTCTTCACTGTTGCAGGAAATAAAGATTAAGCTCTGATTGTTACATTGTGGGAGGTTTAAACTCACTTAGTAATGTTACTTATGGGCAAAGTTGGATTTCCAATTAGTTGTGCTCATTTGCCCCTTCGATGCATGCTTTGAAGGGCTAATGATACTCTATATGTAACTAATGTATCCACATGACAGCTGAGATTGTAATACTTGCTCAGTTTTCTCTTTATTTAATTTAAATACAGGATTTATATTAAGGAGGAAGAAAATTACATTTTTATGTTTTCCTTATGTACTACTAAAAAGTAGTGACACTTCCAGTAAACTCCCCATAGTTTTGATTCATAGTGTCTTAAATGCAAAGCTTAGAAGTTGTCAATGATACAATTAATGTGTTTTTTTCAGTTTTAGACTCACATGTGACTGCCCAATGTCACATCCATCTGGAAAAGACACTTGGCACACAATTATTCTAAATTTTCTTAATAGACTTTCCCCTGCAAAGTATTGAAAATCCCATCGAAACTGTTGAGTGTTGTAACCTCCAATTAAACTCAGTTCTTTCAAGAGATACCTCTAGGCAATTATGGGATCAGACCATAAAAAATGAGTTAATTGAGTGTACAAAGTATTCTAGGAAGTGGTGTGAAAAGCAGATGATGTATCTGTAAGTAATGCATATTTCAGAATCTGATTTATCTAACCAGCAGATCTTCATAAACTCAAACCTGAAACCCTCTTAGAGCTATTATTACTCACAGATTGTAAACTCAGAAACTATACACAGAAAGATGAGATAATGAAGTAATTACTAATGGTTATTACGATTAGGATGGGAATAGTATTTTCCTCCCAAGTTCTGTGTATGGAAAAATGCTAGCATAACAAACGTGCCTTAGCAAGGGACTACACATTCATGCCTGCAGGTGGCGAGCAACATGTACAATGCAAAGCACTTTCAGTCTGTCGATCCTGCTATTACCATCTCCTATCAGTTTGTTTTACTAAATTATTACTTTATTAATACAACACAGAGTCCAAGGCATTGTTGCTTATGTGCTTGTTACTATCTATTTGATTTGCAGATGAAATTCCTACAGTGGTTGGGATCTTTAGTGCATTTGGGCTTATCTTCTCTGTCTCCCTTTTTGCTTGGATCTGCTGTCAACGTAAATCTTCCAAATCCAATAAGACCCCTCCATATAAGTTTGTCCATGTTCTGAAGGGGGTTGATATTTACCCTGAGAATCTCAACAGTAAGAAGAAGTTTGGAGCAGATGATAAAGGTGAAGCAAAGAATAAATCAGCAATGCCAAAGAATTCTCTCCATCTTGACCTGGAGAAGAGAGATCTAAATGGCAATTTCCCCAAAGCAACCCCTAAAATCCAGAGCTCTCCAGATCTTGAAAATTTGTCTCCTAAGCACTTTTCTGAAAGGAAAAAAGATTCAGTGTCCCCTGATAGTTTAAAATCCATTGCCTCCCTGTCATCTGAAGATAAACAAGACAAGCTAGGAACTCTTTTTTTCTCCTTAGAGTACAACTTTGAGAAAAAGGCATTTGTAGTGAACATCAAAGAAGCACGTGGGCTGCCAGCAATGGATGAACAGTCAATGACTTCTGATCCCTACATCAAAATGACAATCCTGCCTGAGAAAAAGCACAAGGTGAAAACCAGAGTGCTGAGAAAAACCTTAGATCCAGCTTTCGATGAGACCTTCACGTTTTATGGAATCCCCTATAGCCAAATTCAAGACTTAACACTTCATTTTATGATCCTGAGCTTTGACAGGTTTTCCAGAGATGATGTAATTGGAGAAGTCCTCATTCCCCTCGCAGGAATTGAATTGTCAGAAGGAAGGCTGCTGATGGACAGAGAGATCATCAAAAGAAATGTTAGGGTAACATATTTCTTATTTAAACTTTAAAAGCATTGTGCTAGTGTGAGCTATGATCCTTGTATAATGCTGCTAACATCTTGGAAGGAAAAAGGAATAAGTTCACTATGCAAGTCATTGAGAAGCTTTCATAATGGCAGTATGAGGAAGCAATCACATAAATGTAATAAAAGCACATTGCAATGAGCATGTTGCAAAAAATTCCTAATGTCTTAAACTCTACCTGATTATTCAGCTGGTCCATCAGTTTTGAGTAGACCCATTTATATTAGGTCAAGAATCCTCAATCCATATTAATTTACTTTAAAATGAAAGAATGCAAAGATTCATGTATTATCTCATTCCCCTCCTTCCCATTTTTCTCTTCAAAACCATACTTTGTTAAAACTTATTGAAGTCAATCTAAATCTTCTACTAGAACTACATGGTTTTTATAGCAGATTCTTAAAGAATACAGGTAATCTTTAGCTAAGGAGCTGGAACCTGTTAAGACACCATATTGTTGATTCAGGAGTATGTTCTTGCACTTCAATGCTGTTACTACCTTCTCTCTCAAGAACTGTGATGCAGTCTGCAGCTCTACCAAAGACAGTAAGACGCAAGGGAGAAGCCAAAGTCTTACTGAAGTCTATGGCAAAACATATTGAATTCACTGAGTTAAAAAATATTTCATAATATTTTGTCTCATTTCCAAAAATAAAGACCATTTACAACCATCACAGCTGAACCAGAGCAATGCACACACATCACACACACATCTCTCATTTTCTACTAAGGAAGTGGAATGTGTATTGACTTTCGATTTGATTGTTTTCAAAGAGCAAGCATGTTGCCAAATGAAATAAATATGTACCAGATGACATACCAATAACTAATACTGTTATTTTGTAATTCTATCACTCTTTTACAACAACTATAACTATGACACTAATATATTGTTGATAACTTATTGGGTTTTCTGGTGTATAAATTTATGTTTGCTTTTTTCCCCTTGCCTTCCTCATATCTGTAAAATAGATTACCCCTGCAAATGCACATCCAATACTCACAGTGAAAATATTTTACTTCATCTTTATTTCATGTACATTATACTATTTTAGAAAGTGTCAGGGATGAGATTTCACTAACTGTTTCAATACCTACTCTTTAAAAAGATTTTTGCTGAAGATTTTCTTTTAAATTTACCATTTTGTTATACTTTTATAGAATTTTGTTTTTCTATAAGAACTATGTAATTCACTGAGATTGTTTTTTATGTAGGACTTAATTTCTGTTCTCTGAAGTTAATGGTGTCATGCCACCTTATATTTTCACTTACTTATTCAATCTAATAGCCAAACATAAGCAGAGTTATATACCTATGGTAGAAGAAAATGACATTTGTTATGTTAAACAATATTTAGTCCATTTTACACCATTTCAGAACATACAGTTATATGGTATTTGATAAATCTTCTTAATTCTGGTTTAATGCTTGGTTAATGCAATTGCTTATAAATAGTCGTCTTTCTTTCTTTCTTTCGTTTTTCTTTTTTCACTTCCTTAGAAATCATCTGGACGTGGAGAATTACTGATCTCTCTCTGTTATCAGTCTACAACAAACACACTCACTGTGGTTGTTTTAAAAGCCAGGCATCTGCCTAAATCTGATGTGTCAGGATTATCAGGTAATGGGTTTACTAACGAATATGCCTTAAGAATATAAAACAAACAGGCAAAAGAGAGCTGAAATGGGACATTTCAAAGGCTAAAAATAGGCCATAAATGCAGAAGTGGTGTCTATTATTTTTGGCCTATTTATTTTATTCATATCTAGGTCAATGCTTTATTTTCCAGGGTATCTATTTTACAAATTATTTTTTTCAATCACATGTTAAAAAGCCATGACATCTGTTAGCAGTGTAAACCAAAGAGTTTTGTGATTGTCTTGAACAGAAACCATCTGCTGTAAGTTTGGGATGTTGTTTGCATATACTAAGAGCTTTTATTTATTAAAATTATCAATTTATTTATATAAGGTCAGTATTGAGTGAGATCATCATATGGTTTATTTCAGCTTAATAACAAGAAAAGCAAACAGTTACATCTGTGATGAATTTGGCCCACTGATCACTAACATTTATTTGCAAAGGTGAAAAGGTGAACTATGTCAGAGATGGAAGCAGGCTGTAACGTAACACCTGTGCTTTATCATGAATTATACTTGGCAGTGTACTAAGAAAGAGCAGTTTTTGCACTCCCTCCTTTTGGTCATGTGTTATTTTGCGTTCAGTGGAAATTCCTTTGAAGCCAATACTAGACTTGAATTTAGATACACATTAATGTTAGATGACATTAACAGAATAGAATTTAATGTACGATATACTAAGGATAAGACAACCGCACAAAAAACTACCCCCGAATAAACAGTAGAACATCTATGTTGATTCTGTATAGGACTGATATTCTTTCGTTTCACAGGATTTTTCTGAAAGAAGCAGAAGGGGAAGTATTTTTGGAAACCACTGAATCATAATTACTACAATCAATAATGCAGCCTATCTACTTCTCATGCCAAGAAATACTGTGATCTTCTTGGAAAATTAACCCATCCTGGATCCTGTAGAACAAAGTTATAGTTAACTCTCATGTACATAGTGGAGTTCCATTGAAATCCTCCTTTTGATCTTAATTTTATTCACATATCATAAGGTGAAAGGATATAAATGGAGCCCAACAATTTACTAAGTTTACTGTAAGAGAGCATACATTTAATATTCAAAGTTACAGTTGACAGTGGAGGTTTCATTAAGACAGCATGACAGTGAGCTGATCTCAACAGATCAAATCTGGCTGAGGTTCATGCAGTCAGGGAAATAACTTGAAAACAAGAACCCACCTAGTGTCAGCAGCCACTTGGACCCTATAGCACATCCAAACCACATATTTGTTTACTATATTTCTTATGAGAAAAGCTGTAAATTCTTTTTACTCTTTCTGATTCCCTCAGTGGAATTTTGCTAACTTTAGCAGCAATATAATATTTCTAAGAGATACAGGGGCAATGCTACACCTGAACATCTAGTTCTGTTCATCAGAGAATTTGCTGTTCATCAGACAGGACAGGTTCAATATATAGTGGGGTGTCAGTAACATACTGCACTTAGGGCAATCTCATTTTCTCTGTGACTTTCTTCTCAGCCCAGCACAAATCTCGGATAAGGAGGAGGGATAAATGGTGTTTCTATGGGGTCAGGTGAACAATGGCATACCTTAATTTCCTTAGGAAAGTGGAAATGTTTTAACTCAAAGGCTGTTCAATTCCCATATCTTCCTTGGTCCTTGATCATTGGTGTTGAGGTCTCTTAGTAGACCTAATAAAATCAAGAGGACCATTCTAGCCTTATCAACTAGGCAGCCAGAAGTAACAGTCAAAAAATGGCTTTTTAAAAGAAGTAAACAATAGCATGGATCCAATGATAAACAATGATACTAATGTTTTTAATGCTTGTGTGACATATATTCATTTCAAAGACAACAAAAATTTTAATTATATTATAAACTATTTTTAGAATATTTATTACTGTGATAGAGTATGAAAGTGAATATGAATCCTCGCATAACTAGTCCTGTGAAATTATTGCCAGGTCAGGGAAATAAAAACCTTTACATCATCCAACAATTTCAGTCTGATAACTTTTGCATAACATTTCTAGACACAGTTCAATTTTAACTTTATTTTTTAAAAGCATTCAAGTATTCTTAATGCTTTTTAGCTGACTGTTTACATGGAATATCTTGTTTGGGTTCAGTAGAAAGGATTTTTTACTGCATCTTTGCAAGATGAGAATTTGGAAACAGGCCAACGTTTTCACTGGAATATATTCCAAAGTACTTGAAAGGGACAATTTCTAAAGCATTCTCTGGAATTCTTCTGAGTGAAAAAATACAACCACTGTTGAAGACACTAGTAAAAGAATCTTGTAACAGTTGAATAATTATGAGGAATGGAAACACTCAAAGTTGGCTGAGAGATAAAAGTATGGACACTTTCCCTTCCCTTCCTCAACAGTGGTACAGCACAGACAAAAAGTCAAGTACATATCCTAACAATAAACATACCCTTATGTTGAAAGTTTAGAGTTAAATTACTTCAACAAAAATTGACAGAAGCAATTTAACCAATCTAATTGACTTTGGTAGAACCACAATCAAAATGAATCACATCCATTCATCCATTCACTCAGCACGAGCTTATTCTTTCTGAGGCTTTTCTTTGCATGGGACTTATTAACGCTAATGATTACTCCCTACTGGTAGAATATGTGAAAAGCAGATTTCTGTTACACACATATATGTAAACATACATATTTGTTCGAGTCCATTAGAATTTTGTGTACTTTCAGACTACCTTTGGATGTAATAAAGATGTTATTAGCGTCAATGGACTACAGGTCAGGTTTTAACTCATGAAGGAGACATCTGTATTTGATCAGATGAATCACACCCCAAACTTCACTGAACACCTTGATTACACCTTTGGTGACCATAAAGAGAAATTAAAGGCATTATTTCAGATGTAAACTCAAAAAATTGGATAAGATCATCCATCTTTCATAACTTAAAACATCTCCTCATTATGATGTGAGCTATGAAATTTACAATCCATCTAATCAAGGTGTTTCTAAACAGTACTGTTCAATAGCTGATCTATGTTCTTCCTTTTCATTGCAGATCCTTATGTCAAAGTGAACCTGTACCATGCTAAGAAGAGAATTTCTAAAAAGAAAACCCATGTGAAGAAATGCACCCCTAATGCAGTGTTCAATGAATTATTTGTCTTTGACATTCCTTGTGAGGGCCTTGATGATATCAGCATTGAATTTTTGGTTTTAGATTCAGATAGAGGGTCAAGGAATGAGGTCATTGGCCGGTTAACCTTGGGATCTTCAGCAGAAGGAACAGGTGGAGAGCACTGGAAAGAAATTTGTGAATATCCTAGGAGACAAATTGCTAAATGGCACATGCTGTGTGATGGTTAGCAGCTTAGAGAGGGGTTGGAACTTGAAAAACTATATATATATCCATAGGCAAGGAGCAGTTTTCTTTTTTTTCTTTCTCTGCTATGTTTAATTACAGGCTTGTAATGAAAAGATTTTTTTTTTTTTTTTTTGAACGATGGGGAATAAAAACTGGATTGAATTATCAAAACAGAAGGTAACTAAATTTTCACAATAAATAAAGGAATTCATATTTGGTGTTTAAATAGCCCAGCAGTTTTGAAGCAGTATAAACTTCAACAAGAACAGACTATGTCTTATGAAAAAAATCACTGGAAATCTTGCTAGTACTGTTACACAGAAGAAGATAATGTTATTAAAATATATTACTAAATCTAAAAAAAACCCCACCTTTGTGTTACTGGGGGTAGGGTCTGAGCTTGTAAAAGCTGTGAGGAATGTGGGTGAATAGGAGGGTAATGCCTTCTTCCCCTCCACCAAAAACCTTCTTTTATGAAAATTCAATCAATAATTGTAAATTTTAGTTACTTATAGTTTGATCATCCCAAAGATTAAAGAGATTTTCAGCAATTTGCTTTACATGTCACTTCATGGGCAACTACTTGTTTTATGTGTGGAAATAATGTATAATTATTTACACTTGGAATTTTTAATATGTATATATAACTTGTTTTACAGTGACTTAAATAGATGCATTCTTCTAATTGTTGAGCAAGTTAACATACATTGTTTTGTTAAAAGGGCTCCTTTACGGGTGACTGCACATGCTACAGCTTAGCTAGAATTTGGGGTTAGGTATGGCTTGCATTTTTTTCCTCTAACAAGGATTATACTTTAGGCATTTCAAACCATGGGAAAGCATTCCTATTGAGAAGAATTAACATACAGAGTACTACAGTCCATGAACTTTCACCAATTATATTTTAAGACATTCAGTAATGCTTAAAGAAAAAATGTTTCTTCTTTTATTTCATTAAAAAAAAAAGGAAACAAAATAGTGAGACAGAGAACAAGACCTTATTCCGCTGTTTAGCTTCCTGAACTGTGACTAATGCTATTACAATCAGTAAGACTACTCCTCCCAGCATAGAAAATTTAACTAATTTAAAAATATTGCAGGATATGCAATCAAGCTCAAATTATCATTTATCCAGCATTATGTTAGGCAAACTACTTAAAAAGTGCATTTAACTTAGATTATATACATTAATGTTCATTACTGATTGTATTGAAAATTGGTGGGGATAAGGGAAAATAACATCCTGATTCATTGTTAGTGTGGCATATGTATGTTTAAACATAAACTGTGCCAGGCTGGGGGAGTATCAAGTGTAACATAAACAAGTATATAAATAAAGCATTTGGACCTGTGAAATTTACTCTTGGTCAAACAAGATAGACTTTTAGGCTGTCAGAACTATAGCACAACTCTAAACAGATTATCTACTAAAATTTGTACACTGATTTCTGAAATCTGATACAGAATTGTGTGCAAATATTACTCTTACACCATTTTCAATTACAAATAAGAAAAAAGAATATAATGATGTTAGTTGTTGACATAAGAAGAATTTTAAAAATGGAAAATTGTTTTCAGTATTTTGCCATACGTCATTTTGTCACATGTTATTCCACTGAAGTGAATGAGACTACTTGGGGATTAAGGTATTGCTCAATGAGCGGGCATGCCAGTTAAAAAACATACACTGGATCTCAAATTACTTTCATTAAACAAGAGATTCAGGTCTCATTCAAAACTGTTGAAGATTTGTTGTCAACTTTACGTGTTCTCATATGGCCAAATTATGTTTGCAGTAAAGGACACTGAAATATGAAATATGCAAGTAGACAAATAGTACTGGAAGAATTCTGTTGAGGCTCTTCCAGGTTTTGTGTCAGTATTTTCTCCAGTTTTTGAGAATGTGTTTGATATAACAGTGTTTATAAAGTTCTGTAAAAATACATTTTCAAAATAACATAAACATGCTTTTTATGATAATGCTTAATGTAAAAATACTGCGTATTGTATGTATAAAGGAGAGGAATCTTTTTCGCTTATTTCTTTAGAAAGCTGATTAACTGCTTAAGGGCTAGAGTTTGCCAGCCACATTAAAGCAGAGCTAATCCAAAGCCACCAAGTCAAAGGAAAGATGCCCACAGGCTTTAGTGGGGCTTGAAGTGCAATCACAGAGAAAAACTCTTGTGAACCAACCCAGCAATGGGACCATGAATAAGGGGATACTGATTTAATAGAGACTGGGACTGTTTATCTCACTACCACACAACCACAGATATTACAAATTGTAATAAAAATGTGATTGCATGAGAGAGGATGGGAGAGCTTGTAATTTAAAAAAAAAAAAAGAAAAAAAAGAAGAGTTTTTTTTATATTAGCCCATAAGTAGTACAAAAAATTTAAAAATCATAAGTCATCTGTCTCCAGAGAACACAAATTCTGACATTAGGAGAAAAAAAAAAAAAATCTATCTTTTTGAATTAATGATAGGCTGTGACCACCTGTCATTTTGTATTCAACAAGTCGTCATCAATTTTTTTCAGTTTCTATAGCAGCTTGAGGGTTAATATTTCTGTCAGCTAAATGACAGTTCTTGGGTGATAGGGGGTAGAAATGGGAAAGGGAAATGAAGAAAAATTTGTTAAATCTAAAACCCCCCTGTAAATAGAATTTTGTTTTCCGTTTAAAACAATGTTTATCTTGGAAAGTTGAGTAAAGACGACTTGTAACACATTCATAAAACAGCCAAGGCAGGAGCGAATGTGGACCTTCACTGAAGTGAGAAATTCTGCTGTTTTATAAAGTATTCAATTCTCATTGTGAATATCTTGAAGTATGTTAAGGATGCTGTACTGTATTAAACATGTAAAAAAAATGATGTTTGTCTAAGTAGCTTACAAAAATAATAATAACTCCTTGAATGGGAGACTATCCATGCCTGGAGATCTGTCGTAACTAAATACCTGACTCTTTATGGTGTTGTAACTTAATAGAAGCTATTTGAGAGGAAGCATGGTGTATGAGATTTTGTAAGTTATTTGTGCCGGTTCTGTATGTTGTGCCATGTGTGTAAGACAAGAATAAACTGCTGCTTTCGTTCATCCCATCCCAAAACAATTATCCCACCAATGTATCTTTTCCAGAGAGTGTTAATATTGGTATTCATGGTCTACTCTCTCATGCTTCTATCAAAAGGCATTTGCCTTGCAAAGTCTTACTCTTCTCATAGAGATGGATTAGACTTATTCTGCCAAATACTAACTGGGCATATCAGATGTTCTTTATTTGTACATTCTTGCTGCATACACTTGTCTTGAACTGTACCATACACTCATGCTAGAACCTGAGAAATACCGCATGAGAGAAAATCTGAAGCTTACATAGGCCCTGCAGGGACTGATCTACATATGTAAAGAAGAATGAATTCTAGAATATTAGGTAGAAGAAGGAAAATATAAACCATATTACTATTGGAATTCTGGTCACATTCCAGGTGTTTTCCAGAAAAACTAAACAAAACAAAACAACTAACCAAGTAACCAAACAAACAACCCCCCAAGAAAAGAAAAAAACCAAACCAAACTAACCAAACAAACAAACAAAAACCAAACCAAAGCCAAACACCCACCCTCAGACACTCTTCCTTTGGTGTAAGGAAATAATGTCAGGCTCATCAGATGAGTCTGAAAGGTAGGGTAGAGAAAGTATTCCTTCAAGTAATCAATTCTTTTTTCTTCCATGAATTGTAAGTTCTCCTAAAATAATGGTGACTCTCATGAGTCACATTTCAGACCTTCTTCTGCATGACAGTGCTCATGAATATCTTTAGGTTTTCCAGCTGTAATGCATCTGAGAGAGGAGAAGTCTTTAGGATACTGGTCAATATTGCTATTTCTACCTTACATTGCTGCAACAGGCAAGTCCTGTGAGGCCTCAAGGGAGCCCTCAAAGATGTTCTCCTCCTTACAAGCCATGTGATTCCTCAGTTGCACACTATTCCATAAGCTTCTTGTATTTATAGATTATCATGGATAGCAAATTGCTGTATACACAGTAATAACACATAACTACAGACGTCCACAAGCAGTGCTTCTGCTCAAACAAGATTCAAATAAACATAATGTAAGCTGCAACCTTCTCATTTTTGTTTTCTGCTTCATGAGGTCTCATGAAGCTGATGAGCAACTGATGGCACTCTCACAGTTGCTATGATTGGTATTGGCAACTATTTGGTTTGTTCTTCTGATGAGTCCTTCATTCAAAAAGTCCTATCCAGTTCTCACAGGCTTTTACCTTCTATAACTAGAAAGCTGTTGTAAGACGACTTTGAGTCTAGAGGCTTTGAGGCAGCTTTGGAGCACTGATTAGAGTTGCAGCATGGCAGTACCTTCTAACACAGAATAAAGGACTAAAGTCAGTAAGAAGAGAAATGAGAGGAATTAAATTTTTGTTTATATTAGTGTTAAGTTTGCATATGCTAGTTTTGCCGTTGTGTCTGAAGTACTTTGTGCATGACCAGACAATGTCAGTCACAGAAATGAAATCTTCTGATTACACTGCCATCAACAAAATCAGGTGTTGTCCTGTCTGATGAGTTCACATTCTGCTTGACCTCTTCAGTCGCAGTAGCAGGACTGAGGGGACATTCCTTCCCCCCAGCTGCCAGAGCTCTGCAGTCTCTCTTGATACGCTCTGCATTACTCAACAGTACTGTTGGTGACCACATGGAAGAGCTCTAATAGTACGTGGGCTGGGCAAGCCTTAGCAACATGCTGGATCCTATCCTCATGGCAAGCATCAAACCTCCCAGTATATCACTGGGGCAAGTCAATAGGTACAATTATCACACTCCTTTTCTCCTTTGAGCAGATACAATGTGTGAATTCGGTTGGCTCTGATAAATCCTTCATTATTCTTCTCAGTGACCAGGGCAAGATACTTGTTCTGAAGTTGCGGGTGGGGCCACCCAGTCTTGTGACTGTTGCCAGAAGTCACAAACTGCCAGCTTTCTCCATTTTGAAAGCTCCCTTCCAACACATCAGACCCTTCCCTACCTCTGTCTGGGTCTACATCAGGATAAATAACACCAAATAGTGCTACAAACCATGCCCTTTGGCGTACTGAGACCATTGCTCCACAGCCTCCCAACAGCCTTACCCAGTCCTGTTGGGAAGGACTGGGTTTCAGCACACCATGTTAAGCTAACTGCAGCTTTGACT